CAAGAAGACCTAGCCTTCCACGGTGTGGACGGCCTGGAAGTGTCAGCCGCTCTTACAACTGTCTACGCTCAAGTTCCCTTAAACCGCTATCCGTCTCTCCCATCCTTACCTCCTAATTTTTCTCCATGTCTACCAGTTAACAATCCTACGTCATCTTTAATTTTTTTAGCTGCACAGCTTTCGATAACGATCTTAGTCCACAGAACATCATCTTTAGTCTTCATAAACCATGTACCAAATTACACATTAGAGCCTTCAATATCCGCACCCTCCGTCAAATTGGCCAACAAATTTGATTGGCGAAACTAGCAACTAGGGCCATGGATATGTGCTGCGTTTTTGAGGCACCCAAGTGAAGTTATTTACTGAACCTGGGAAATATGGTGAATACACAAAATTCACCCTTTGAGTTTCTGTAGATTCGATGGCTCGTTCTCACGGTCTTGCAGGTGTAGCCATAACACTAAACACTAGGGCGGAGAACCCACTTATAGACTGGATTCCAGTTAACAATCAACAATGCACTGTACGGCTGAATGGCACAGTGGGAACTAAAAGGAATAGTGAAACTCGCCGTTGTCTTTTTGTAATCTATGCTTACGCACCCACCCTCTGCAGTTCGTATGAAGCAAAGGATGGATTCTGCTGAAAACTATCTAGCCTCCTGAAAACCGAACGTTCAGACGTGGTTGCTGTTCCAGGGATTTCAAGACACAAGTGTGGGTAAGCTAAGTCTGGCAGAAAGGTACTCAGGTGGCACTTTCCGAATCCTGACCGAACGAACGGATAACGGTGATCGCCTACTACAACTGTGCTCAAATAACCATTTGTTTCTAGCTAGTACAAACTTCAGACATAAAGAAAAACACTGTGTGACGGGGCTCCCATCCAGTTCAACTAAACGAGCGTATGCCTACGTCTCAGTGGACTTAGAAAAACTTTAGCAACAAGACCATTATGAGTGCAGCTTGAAAATGAGAGCACTAAGGCTGCTTTCAATGAGAAACTGACTAGGCAGTTATCCGAACAGAACACTATCACTCATCCATAAGAGGCATCGCGTCATCTCCAATCTGCTGCAAAAACAAAGTTGAAGACAGTAGCCGACCCTAAAACAGTGATCAAAAGAGCCCGTGGATATCAGCAACTTCTTCTGAACTAATGGATGCACGTGAACACATCCCTGCAGTCTGTGGCTACAGTAAAGAGCGAACGTAACTCAAATGTAGAAAGATATTGAGAGGGCTTCTAATGAGTTCAACTTAGCGATGGACACAGATAGACCACATTGCTATCATTCATCGATGGAGAGGGTCGGTGGAAGAATGTTGCTTCTTTTGGATCAAGTGTTTGGGAAGCAACCACGCGTTGGTTTGAGGAAGTATATGTCTGCGTCTCAGTGGACGTTGAAATGCTTTAGTGACAAGATCATTACGAGTGCATTTCTACAATGGGAACACTAAAGGTGCTTTCAGTGAAAAACTGGCTAGGTAGTTATCGGAACAGAACACTATCACTCATCCAAAAGAAGCTTAATGCCATCTCTAGTCTGCTACAAAACTAGTGTTGAAGACGGTAGCCGACTGTTCCAGAACCTGGCGGAATGTAAATAATTTGGTCATAAGTCAGTTGGATTGTTCCTTGAATTGTTTTGTCCATCGTTTCAGTCATTTCCACCGGGAGTGAATTGCATAATTATCCTTCTCTGTTATAGTCTCACTAACCACTAACTTTTCATCCAATTTTCCATGAAAAGTCTAAGTCACTGTCAAACGAATGATCTCTATGCGTATATTGTTCAGTTCGATGATAACGTGTTTCTTTTAGTTTAAGATGCTGACAAGATGTGAGCTCTTAAACAAGAGTAAACATTTAATGGCTTATTTTACTTCTTTAATGAACGCAAATGAAATGAAACTCAGCAACCATTTGCATATTAATATAGTTATCCATAATCATTACATTAGGGCTAATAGTACTACTTGACTGTCTGGACCCCTGCAGTAGGTTACGTTTCGAACTCATGACGTACTGTTTGAAAGTTGACTGCATGCACCAATGGGCCACATCTCCCTAATATAAATGATTTCGTCAAGAGTAGTTTGCATTGATACACTTACAATAGGGATTGGGGTGGTTAAGTTCCCTATATAAGCTTGTTGGCAGATGGCGGAGCCATTATGTCAGCATGTGTTGCACATTCTAGGTCACAATCTACTTTGGTGTGAAGTGTAGTAGTTGAAGTAGGATTTAATAGAAGTTAAAGTCATGTGGATTGGAAAAAAAACTATCTCTGAATTGTCTTATTGTGTTATCTGAACTGTTTCTGAAAGTGTAGGCTTTCTGATTGGGGTCGATAAAACAACCAAGAACGATGGGTGGAAACTCTAGTTGGCATAGTTTAAAATCACCCACTGTCGATAAAACTGTGGGTCATTGGTTTAGGCAGTCGAGTTTCTATTAATGTGTTTTGGGTTTAACTCATGCCCCACCTACTGAGATCTGAACAACTAGGTAGTATCATCAGCTCTGACACAATAGATGTGACTCATTACTTGCGCTAATGTACACGTGATTACTAAGCGCATTTTGATTTTTCGACCTATAGTAGCAGAAGTGCATTCGTGTTTATCTTCACTTAAATTCTAATGTCGCTTACCATTTTTACCTTCATCCCTTTCTTTTCTCATTAGGCTGTCGGTGACTTTTGGTAATATTTCCATTTCTCTGCTTTTCACGTTGTTACTTTTTCCGTTTTTTTCTCCGTTTCATATGTAGCTTTTTTGCAACTGCTTATGTTATTATATTCATCTTGATTGCTAGCAGAGAAATTCAGGACTGGCATCTCGTCCTATTTTGGGCTCGTCAGCTGGATATACCTGGATATACCCATCGCTACAAAAAAGCATTAAGTTCATGGATTAGTCCATTTTCTTGAATTTCGTTTCGTGAGAAATTCGTCCTGTTATACGTACCTTATTCCTAACAGTCTTACTGTGCGACAAAACATAGGCTGGTCAAGTCGCACTTAATCAGTTGGCGGTTAGTGTCCGTAAGTATGGTATGTGCTTTGCACTATTGAAGTGGAAAGTACTCTTGCAAGATTGGAAGGAGCCTGTGCCATCGCTCACCCTCGGTGGTGAGCCATTGGAAGTAGTCGAAAAGTTCGTATATCTAGAAGGTTGTGTTAGTGGTGAAATTTCCAACCGCATATCGAAAACCAGAGTAGCATACGTCACTCTGGACTCCGTTTGGAGCCGTCACGACGTTAGTTTGACCGTGAAATGGTCGAGTTTATAATGCTTCGATGTGAGCAATTCTGCTCTACTCATGTAAGACCTGGCCTCTCCGAGCTGAGGATATGCAATGACTCTGTGTGTTCGATTATCGTTTTCTGCATAGGATTGCTCGTATCTGGTGGCAACACCATGTAAGTAATCCTGAGGTACGACAGTGTGTGTTTGGGCATGATGGAAATCGTTATCTTAAAACATCGGCTTCGGTGGCTTGAACATGTCGTCCCAACGGCTTCCACACCGTTAATTGTTTGCTTACCGTGGGGCTGGATAGAAAAGGCGGAGGGGTGGTCAGTATATGACATGACTCCGTGAGATGTATCGGGTTGGTATCTGTCGGTGCATCGCAACTCCCTGGGTGGGGTCTGAGAGATCACGCAACCCGGTGGCTTGAGACATCAGATATGGCTCACAATGGAAAGCAGTGGTGGTCATGCTGTAGCTTCCTCCTGTCTTCTGCTGCTGAAAAGTAATAAATGTTTCTTTTCAAATGTACCCTACTGGACTGCCCTTTTAATCATTCTATTCTGATTGTGTTTTACTTTTATCGACTTCCCTTCGCTTTATGTCTTCATAATATCGTTATAGTATTTTACGTGGTTCATTTCTTGGTGCGCTTGCTATACGACGTTTGTGCTCTAATATTCCTAACACTAAATACTGTAAAGGCATTTATATTGAAGAGTTAACTTTGCTTGTCTTTCAGAGGAGTGGAAACTGCCGAGCTAGTGTCTTCGAAATATTAGAAGCTATTCTTTGACAATGCTTGTTGATAGTTCGAAATTGGTCACAACAGCGTGCATATCTTTCCTTTTTTCGTTGTCAAAGTTCTTAAAATTTGATTGATTTCAGTTTTTATTGTCTCCTGCCATGTCTTCGTTTTGAAACATCTTTTGATTTCTGCTAACTTCATCTTCTTGTGCCTTTAAGAATTGTTACAACTTAAGTACTTTTCCTCAGGGTTGACGTCGTTTTGTCTTTTCTATTTGTGAGCAATTCAAACTTCACCGCTGTTAAATCTTCTCTGTAAAGCATTCAGAGTATTTTCTGTTCGGAAACAATCGTTAGTATGGAAAAATTCTGTTATTATGAATCTTCACTTTTGTAGGATAATCCTTGTGTGTGGTTGTTGTTCTTCCGCTCTCAGATATAAGGCGGATGAGGAATATGTCCCAAAATCCCCTGGGATGTACTTCTTAAATCAAGCTTTTTTTTTTATCTGGTTGTTATTTTTAGATTTATGGTTGTTGATGAGGTTGGTTTGGACAGACATACTTAAGTGGAAGGTTGTTGAAATTGTAGAGAAATTCCTCACAAGTTAATTGTTTCCAAATAATAATAAAAAACACATCGCTATAATTATCAAAAATAAAAACTTAATTTCTTAGATACTTTGGTGTGAAGATATGAAGGTGTCTAGTGTAACTTTTCTAAAGAGTTGGTAGACCTCAGTTGGTACAGTAAGCCACACAAATACGCTGAGTTGGTTTGAACAAAGTATTTCACGCATAAATGTAACATAGTTAGATGTTTGGATGACTTGGAAGTTATATTTATAATTCTGCCCTTATGGTTGTTTTGATTACACAGCAATCTACATTATTTGTCTTGTGACCTATTGACGAACACCTACATTATTCTATTTTAATCTGATATAGTGTTTATACATAAGTAAGTATGCTTTTCTTTCATATAATTTTTTAGATATGGCCCGAATAATTCATGTCTCTTCCTGTCTCAATATCCAAATGATATAGAAGATGGCAATTCATCTCGGGGTAGTCTATTCACAAATCAATGTGACTATGAAAAGCATTTAGTTGGATTTCATCTCATAAAGCATCCTGTATATAAAAACTTGGATTCAAAATCATTGCAGCCTATACATCATGTCACTCCCCATTGTAACGGTAAATCTATTGTTAGTATATTAATTTTCATTATTATTATTGTTATTTGTCCCTTAAGTTCCCAGTGGAACATAGGGCTTCAGTAGCACGTCTCCATTCCACTCTATTCTCTGCAATCTTTTCAACCTGGCTTCACGACTGCCCACAAACTCTCATTTCTTCCTCACACCATCTCCTCCATGTCACCCTCACCTCGGACGACCAACTCGCCGTTTCCAATCTGGGTCCCACTCGAGTGCCTCGCCTGTCACGTGATGTCCCCGAATGGTCTTCTCAATGCATGCCCAATCCATCTCCACTTCCTTCTGCATATTTGTTGAGCGATAGGTTCTTGGTTGGTTCGTTGCCTGCCTGCCAGCCAGCCAGACTTCCTTGTTGCTTATTATTTCTGGCAATCCATGTGAGCTTCAGTAACGAGCCAGCGTAGGCATTTGTCGATAAGTATTTGTAGTTTGTTGGAAATGCTTTTCGTAACGCTCCAGGTCTCTGAACCATCACATAGAAGCACTGACTTGACGTTGGTGTTGAAAATCCGGATGTTGTTCACACTTTGTGGTGAGTGCAGAAGTTCTCCATACCGATTTCAGGCTAATGAACACCTGTCTTGCTGTGTTTCCTATCCTGGCTGGTTTTGACATCCTCGTCTGTGCCTGTACCGCCTGTAGTTGAAACGATGCTGCCTAGATAGATGAAAGAGGCTACTTCCTTTAAGTTTCTCCCGTTGATGGTGATTGGAGCTTGTTGTTGTTATTGTTGGTGGTGGTGGTGTTGGTTGGGTATCTTCATCACCTCTGTCTTCTCTACATTCACTTGAAGTTCCGTCCTCGCTGCCACGCTCCTTCTGTCAAGTTGTTGGATTTTGCCTATAGATCTTCGAGTTTGTGTGACATTAGATACAAGTCATCGGTGAAATCCAAATCTTCTAGGATCTTTTCGCCGGTCCAACGTATCCCCCTCTTCTCGCTCCTCACTGTTTATTGCATGATACAGTCCACCACAATCAGGAAGATCATGGGTGATAGTGAATTAAATACGCTATCTTGATGTTTATGATTCTGAAGTAGATTAGGTTTATATACTGGAATCAAATTAGGTGTTCACATATTGTTAGTAGCTAGATTTCATTATTTATATACTCTATGTCTTATGTTAAAATTGAATCAGAGTTACAAAGTATGAGCAGTTTTTACTTAGTCTTGTTTATTCTTGTCGGAATTCAAGTTATAAACAACAGATTTTATGGGTGTGGTAACATGTAGTAAAAATAATACACTCTGTTTTGAGTAACTAACTATTTATTTACTAAAGCAGTCCATATAATTATAGATTTCTTTTGATAACAATGGTTTGCAGGATGTTAGTTAGATGGAGGCAATCAGCAAGAAGCCCCCAAGTTGACCTAGGTTTCATGCTTTTTGGCACTCGTCAGCAAAGTGTATCTGTAACCTCAAGAGAAGTGATAACCCTTTTGAGATTCGAACTCACGTCAACCAGTGATGAAGTCAGAGACGTCACCAATAAGGTATTCCGGCTGCGAATGACTTGTAGGACTGGATCTCAGTCACAGTGATTGATCACTAGAAGGTGACCAACTTCATGTTATCTAGTCCTAATCGATTTCTATTGATCATTTTGGAATGCAGCCACTAGGCTAATTGATGTGGATTCGAATCTCAGTGGGGACATCAGTTCCGTAGAGGTTGCAGATACACTTTGCTGATGAATGCCAAAAGTGCGTCACAATGTTGAGTCGATTAGTCTGGTAGTTTCAGTTTTTAACATCTCTTCGTCACCTCTCTTTCATCTCTGAATGGATGTTCCATATTTAAACATATCATCTTACTGATATTTTAGATGTTTCTGGGTTGATTTAATTGTTTTAGCTCCGTCAATATATTCTGTCAACTTGAGTAGTAATACGTAGAGCAGCAGTAAAGTTATCAGTTGCATTTATCATTCAATATAGTAGAGAATGATTCAGGTAAGATCCGAATTGAGCCACTTTGGTTAGTTGTTGACTATTAGTTCAAATTGTGTTCCGTCTTTTGAGGTTGCAATGGTCAGCTGATATTACTAGATCTCACAATGGACGTGGATTACAGTAGTCAGGGATGCTTTGGGTAGTAGCTGTTGGAGTGAAGCGAATCGTATTGAGTATTTGAAATTAGTTCAAAAGTTGCCATAGAGCATCACTGTTGTAATTGTAACTCAGTTGTTGTTGGCTTTTTCATTCGGCTTAACCACGGGATTACAGACATGGAATCTGCGCTGCTCATTTCTGTTTTGGCAGCTGGCTAGTATGATTACTCTTCATGTAGTAGGTGAGATTCCTCTTCTTCTTCTTCTTACTCCTCCTCCTTCTCATCATCATGGAACTCAAAAACCTGTAGGTACAAGGCTATAAGGTATATCTTCTATGAGAACTTCGGCAGAGTAGATAGGTCTCGGGAATTTGATCTACAGATTAGCTCTTATACCCATGTGCGTATGCGAAGGGTCACCGAATACTTTTTAGTAGTTATTTAAAACGAAAGACTTGGTTTTCTTTGAATAAAATTGAGCCGGTCCAGGAGTTCAACCAGTCTATAAAGTATGCTGAAGATATATAACAAAGTTGGGATTATACTCCACACTATCTAGTACCATTATTACAGTCTGTTATTTCAACTTAATTTTTTCATGAACCTGACTATTGGATAACTTTACGTGTACCTACGTTAACATTCGTTTCTCTTAATGACTCACTTTGACCTATCATTTTTATTCCATTGGACCTTCGATTCTGCTAGTTAGTTTGCTTCACTTTTGTTTGACAACAATTTCACTCTCTACCTTTATATACTTTAATTTCAATCTATTGTTGTTTTTCTTCTTGAACTCTATACGTCATGCCGATTATGAAATATTCAAACAAATGCGTATTCACTTAATGTAATTCTGATTCATCTATCTAAATAAACTGTTACGTCTCTAAGTATTGGGCTATATGGATAATTCTGATGTTTAATGTGGAGTTTGTCGGTCATTGGTTTTACGAATTTGACTTTCAACTAATGAGTGATGAATTTGAACATCGTTCCACCTACTGAGATTTGGGCAGCCAAATAGGGTATTATCAGTCAGCCATCATACACAATAAATGTGACTGATTCATTGACTACTGAACAAATATGCGCAAGATTACTAAGTGAATTTCGATTTCTATTCGAACGGTGTTTAGGAGTAATCTTTTTGTTCATCTTGTAGAAGGCTAGGTTACTCGCTGAAGTAATTTTCTAATGTTATACATTTGATAGACAGAAGTATAATACCACATTAGTCTGAGTACTCAGCAACTAACTATAAATGTATGAGTTCGTAACAATATTCTTCTTACTATGGCGAGTAATCATGCTCCTGTCAACCCCAAGCAAAAAATTTAGCCACATCATCCTGGAGCGACTAAAAGATGCGCTGGATTCAAAACTACGACCGGAACAGGCTGGCTGGGTTCAGGAAGTACAAAGCATGTGCGGACCGAATTGCAACGCTTCGCATCATCATAGAACAGAGTATAGAATGGTAGTCAACTCAAGCTCAACTTCATCGATTTTGAAAAGGCTTTCGACAGTGTCGACCAAGAAGTAATTTGGCAACTGCTCTAACACTACAGTATACCATAAACCGTTATCAACCTCGTTCGACAACTATGTGAAGACGCCACATGCCAAGTGATCCACAATTATAAGCTCAATGACGTCTTTGAAGTGAAGATAGAAGAAAGGAGTAAGACAAGGCTGCCACCTACTATTACCAGTGATCTTCCTGATTGTGGTGGACTGTATCATGCAATAAACAGTGAGGAGCGAGAAGAGGGGGATACGTTGGACCGGCGAAAAGATCCTAGAAGATTTGGATTTCACCGATGACTTGTATCTAATGTCACACAAACTCGAAGATCTATAGGCAAAATCCAACAACTTGACAGAAGGAGCGTGGCAGCGAGGACGGAACTTCAAGTGAATGTAGAGAAGACAGAGGTGATGAAGATACCCAACCAACACCACCACCACCAACAATAACAACAACAAGCTCCAATCACCATCAACGGGAGAAACTTAAAGGAAGTAGCCTCTTTCATCTATCTAGGCAGCATCGTTTCAACTACAGGCGGTACAGGCACAGACGAGGATGTCAAAACCAGCCAGGATAGGAAACACAGCAAGACAGGTGTTCATTAGCCTGAAATCGGTATGGAGAACTTCTGCACTCACCACAAAGTGTGAACAACATCCGGATTTTCAACACCAACGTCAAGTCAGTGCTTCTATGTGATGGTTCAGAGACCTGGAGCGTTACGAAAAGCATTTCCAACAAACTACAAATACTTATCGACAAATGCCTACGCTGGCTCGTTACTGAAGCTCACATGGATTGCCAGAAATAATAAGCAACAAGGAAGTCTGGCTGGCTGGCAGGCAGGCAACGAACCAACCAAGAACCTATCGCTCAACAAATATGCAGAAGGAAGTGGAGATGGATTGGGCATGCATTGAGAAGACCATTCGGGGACATCACGTGACAGGCGAGGCACTCGAGTGGGACCCAGATTGGAAATGGCGAGTTGGTCGTCCGAGGTGAGGGTGACATGGAGGAGATGGTGTGAGGAAGAAATGAGAGTTTGTGGGCAGTCGTGAAGCCAGGTTGAAAAGATTGCAGAGAATAGAGTGGAATGGAGACGTGCTACTGAAGCCCTATGTTCCACTGGGAACTTAAGGGACAAATGATATTAATGCTATGTTTTGAGCCATATAGCTCTCTCGTAATTATCACACTGTCAACAGTTCAGAACTAACAGATCGTTTTGTTAGTTTGTCTGTTGAGGTTAAATCTTTTTACTGTACGATATGAAAAACTTCTCATTCACCACCATTTACCTTCTTTTTAAATTAGTTAGTTATGAAGACTGAATAAAGAAGTTTAAGTGAAGTGTTATTGTTTTTGTTATCAAGATGATTTTTATCGTTATTTCACTTCCTTATTACTATTTAATACGCTTATCTTTTTTATTCTTACGAATAGATTCTCTATTTTGTCTTGTTTCAAATTAGAGAAACCATCTCGTAAATGGAGTGTATACAAGTCAGTTGTAAATTTACCCGCTATTCTAAATGATCCAAATTATCGTGAAGTAAGTTGGGTGTTTTTGTTGTTTTACTTTTTTACAATAATTTTACTTGTTTGAAAATTATCTTTAACATAAGAGTTAAACAAATATGATTCAATGAAATCAATCATAATTTTAAGTAAAGTTCTCAGATTGTATTCACCTTCTAATTTGTGATTCTTTTCTACTTTCTGTATATAAAATTTTCTCTTGAAATTATATTTACCTCTGTTTATGTATCATCTTGAACCATTGAACTATGATTTGAGTTTTTAGTAAACAAATTATTTTTTTTTTATTTACCGAAACCAAAAGGCTCACATGAGTTTATGGAACACTGTTAAACAAGTATTTTAAGTAGCTTTGAGAGACAGCGTTACCTGATACTAAGTACAGGAACCTTAGAAAACTAACTGGGTGACCTTACTGTAATCGGAATATAGTACCTCCAGGATTATCGATCCGTTGACTGTCCAAATGTGAAATTTTACACTAGAACTGTAGCTCATTGATTTAGGTATTCTACTTCCAAGTGATGGATCATGAGGTCGAACCCTGTTCCATCTACCGAGTTCTAAGCAGCCAGGTATTATCCTTAGCTCTCACACACAATAAGTATAGCTCACTATCTACTTCATGTTAAGTACATTTCGATTTGGGCACTGCAACAACAATTTCTCCTGATCTTTCTGTTTGCTTGTCCACTTTTTAGGACGACAAGATGTCAGTAAAAAAGCTTGTCAATTATAAATTATGTATTTATCAAAGCCGTTTTCGTATAGATTCATTATTACGGTTATTCACCCAATAAACTTTGTTGTTCTGACCAAAAACTTGAGCCTATCAGTAGGAGTTGAGAAACACTGATCAGTAAGTGAGCTTTAATTCATTCGCCTTGATCACTGGAATGTCAGCATGTCGCTCTTAGAATTTATTCACGCTTCACCTTTATTAGTCAAGCGTTATGATATTTATTTTATTAAAAATAATCCCAGTACTCACTCTACACGTTGTGGCCGGATTGTATTATTATTATTACTACTACTTTGAAAGATGACTGGTTAGTAGCTTTGTTTCACCAGTTGGAAATGCACTTTAAAGGCATAGAAAAATAATTATACTGTGGCAGCTATTCATCATCATACTATCGGAAATTTATTTTCCTGTTTGTTTCTGTTTTGTTTGTACTCTTGGAGGTATGCATCATCATGTAGTAGAATGGTAGTTCTCATAAATACAAAAAAACAACATAACATTTTCCATAAAGTTTATATTCTTGCTTATAGTATTGTACTACTTTCTCTTTTATTTATGTCTAAGTGAAGGAAATGTGTATAATTTGGGTTTTTTTTATTATCGATGTGTAAGTACTTAAGAGTGCGTTTCTGTTTCGTGCCTATTTCATATTTAAACAGTGGAATATTCCTCTTCATTCAGTCATCGTGTGAGCAATGTTAAGGTCAGGCGAAAGACACTAGGCAAGACAGGCTAGTCGATTAGCGAGGTTGTGAAAGTTAGTCGATTGAGATGGCCTGGAGATATACTGTGGATTCCGTGCCATGGACTACCTCGATGCGCCATGCTAGGGAAGGTTGGACTAAGATGGAAAAGGGTTCGGGATTTCCAGATCAAGATTTGGCACCAGTCGATGAAGGCCTTGACTGTTGGCTTGAGCCGTACAGGGAGGTGTAGACTGCCTGGTTTGGGTCCCTGAGACAACAGGAATCAGATGTTGAGGACTGTTGGTGATATGGCTGACATTTTGTAAAGTTTAAATATTCACACTAACCTTTATCTTCAGATTGTTTATTCTCTCACACTACTTTGATATCACTCCTATTCTATTCACCCGTTCTTTGTGTAGTTCTATGAAGTGTGGTAACTTGGGCCGATGCATCTATGTGCAAGCTTCTACGTTGATTTTATCAGTCAGCTCTTCAGTCGTTTGTGAAGATACTTTTGTAGATGGTGTTACGCACTCGTTGGTCACTGGGTAGCTTTGAATTTTTTTTATCTTCTAGTTCTAAGTGCTAACCGACTCTGATTGTTCATGTTCACTGGACAGTTACCAAATGGAATTATTTCCGTTTGCTTGTGAACTGTATTTATGCTTTTCGGATTGAATGACATGATAGTAACGTTTCTGATTAAAGTATCGAGCTACGCGGTTTCGATTCTTTATGAAAGCATTAGTTCTTTCCATTTGTGATTACGGTTTACTATTTGTAAAGATTTTAATTGGACAAATAAGAGGTTATTTTACTTAAATCTTTAAGATTCTAATAAGCTTTTTCGGTACCCGTTTTCAGTACCTTTAGTAAAATTTTGACTGACATTCTTTTTTCAATGTTTAAAGTCGATATTCACTAAACGGGATGACTGTTGTGTTAACTGAGGGTGCAGTAAAACAGATACACGACATATTCCATGTATGTTTTGTTATCCTAGTGTGGGTGTGAGATTTTGAAACAACTAATCCCTTTGATGAATTTTATTATTATTATTATTAGTCCCTTGGGTTCCTAGTGGAACATAGGGCTTCAGTAGCACGCCTCCAGTGACCTCTGTTCTCTGAGATCTTTTGAACCTGGTTCCACGACAGCCCACAACCTCTCATTTCCCCCTCGCATGACCTCCTCCATGTCACCCTCGGACGTCCAACTCGTCGCTTCCCATGGGGATTCCACTCGAGGGCCTGACGCGTGATGTCCTCAGTCGGCCTTCTCAGTGCATGGCCAATCCATCTCCACTTCTTCCTGCATATTTGTTGCGTGATAGGTTCTTGGTTGGTTCGTTCCCAGAGTTCCTTGTTGCTTATTTTTTCTGGCCATCTGATCTTCAGCAGCGAGCGTAAGCAGTTGTTGATGAATGTCTGTAGTTTATTGGAAATGCCTTTCGTGACGCGCCAAGTCTCTGAGCCATACAAGAGCACTGACTTGACGTTGGTGTTGAAAATCCGTATCTTGTTCACGCATGCTGAGTGCAGAAGATCTCCACACTGGTTTCAGGCTAATGAACGCCTGTCTTGCTTTTCCGATTCTGACTTTGACGTCCTCGTCTGTGCCTGTCCGCCTGTAGTTGAAACAATGCTTCCTAGATAAGTGAAGGAGGTTACTTCCTTCAAGTTTCTCCCGTTGACGGTGATTGGAGTTTGTTGTTGTTGTTGATGGTGGTGGTGCGGTATCTTCATCACTTCTGTCTTCTCTATATTCACCTGAAGTCCCGTCTTGGCTGCCTCTTCTGTCAACTTGTTAGTTTTTGCCTGCAGATCTTCAAGTTTATGTGACATTAGGCATAAGTCATCGGCGAAATCCAAGTCTTCTAGGTTCTTTTCCGTCGTCCAGTGTATCCCCCTCTTCTCGCTGCCTACTGTTTGCTGCATGATCCAGTCCACCACAATAAGGAATATCATGGGGGATAGTAGGCAACCTTGTTTCACTCCTGTCTTCACTTCAAAGGCATCACTGAGCTTCCCATTGTGGATTACTTGGCATGTGGCATCTTCATATAGTTGTTGAATGAGGCGGATAAAGGTTTGCGGTACTCCGTAGTATTGAAGCAGTTTCCAAATTACTTCTCGGTCGACGCTGTCAAAGGCCTTCTCAAAGTCGATGAAGTTGAGGTATAGAGCTGATTGCCATTCTACGCTCTGTTCTATGATGATACGAAGTGTTGCAATTTGGTCAGCACATGATTTGTACTTCCTGAAGCCTGCCTGTTCCGGTCGCAGTTTTGAATCCAGTGCGTCTTTAAGCCTCTCCAGGATGATGCGGCTTAATATTTTACTTGCATTGGGTGGACAGGAGAGTGATTCCGCGCCAGTTCTTGCAAGCACTGAGGTCTCCCTTCTTCGGCAGTTTGACAAGGTAACCCTTCTTCCAATCGTCAGGTACCTTCTCTTCCTTCCACACCTTCTGCAATAGTGGTGTGAGCATGTCCGCTGTTGTCTCTGCATCTGTTCTCAGTGCTTCTGGCGGTATTCCATCTGGTCCTGCTGCTTTCCCACATTTCAGTAGCTTTATGGCGTTCAGGACTTCCATTTTCGTTGGGGGATTTATGTTCACTTGTAATTCAGCGGCTGCAGGTGGTATTTCTGGACGAAGTGCAGGTGGTGGTGGTGTCGATTCAAGAGCTTCTTGAAGTGGTCGGCCCATCGTTTCCTCTGTTTCTCTTCTTTTGTAATTAAATTTCCTTCTTCATCTTTTATTGGTTTCATCTGTGTTGGTCTCTTCCCTGATAGCAACCTGGTTATTTGATACAATGTCGTCAGGTCTCTCTTACCTGCAGCCTGTTCTGCTTCACTTGCCAGTGTGTCGTAGAAGTGTCTTTTGTCTTTGCGTGCACTCTTCTTCACTTCTTTGTCCAGTGTTTTATACATTGTGCTCAGTTCCTCTTGTCGTTGAGCATCCTTGCACTGGTTTATCTTCTGCTTCACCATCCTCCTCTCCTCTATCAGCTTCCAGGTATCCGTCGAGATCCATTCCTTGTCTTCTTTCTTCTTCCTTCCTAATACGGCTGTGCAGGTTTCTTTCCACATAGCTTTCAAAGACTTCCAGTGTTCTTCCACACAGGTTTCTTCAGGGATGTTGCTCGATGTCTCCCATTTTGTCTTGATGGCTGCTTGAAGATCTCCTTTGTAGTTTCATCCTTCAGTTTCCGAGTGTTGTACTTGAATTGAGGTCTATCACCAGCTTCCTTGAAGGCTTTTAACTTGATTTGGAAGGTTCCTTGCACTAGATAGTGGTCTGAACCTACATCTGCTCCTCTTCTTGACCTTGTGTTAAGTAGACTGCGTCTCCATTTTCTTGAGATTGAGATAAAGTCGATTTGATTTTTAGTGTGTCCATCTGGTGAAATCAATCCATATCGCTTTGTGGATATCCTTGTGCTTGAACACACTGCCTCCAATCACCAAATCGTTGAATGCACAGAATTCTGCAAACAATTCTCCATTCTCATTCATTTCACCTAGCGAGTCTCGACCCATGGTTAGTTCTCTTCCTGTGTTGTCCCCTCCAAGTTTG